TTGGTTCTTTAAAGGGATAAATAAGATCAATGGTCCCCTGGCCTGATTGACTAAAAAAGAAAAGAAAAGAAAAGAAAAAAGAGAAAGCCCAGATAAACACAATTAGAAAGCAAAAGGTGAAGTCATAACTGACCCTGAAGAAATTCAAAAGATCATCACAGATTACTATAAAAACCTGTATGCAAATAAACTAGAAAACCTAAAGGAAATGGAGAACTGTCTGACATCACACAACCTCCCAAGGTTGAAACAAGAAAAAATTGAAACTCTAAACAGACCAATAACAATCCAGGATATTGATTCAGTCATAAGAAATCTCTCCACCAAAAAAGGCCCCAACCAGATGATTTCCCAGTTGAATTCAATAAGACATACAAAAAGGAGCTAATACCAATCTTACTAAAAGTATTCCAGGCAATTGAGAATAATGGAATTCTCTCCAGCTGATTTTAATAAGCCAACATCATAATGATACCCAAACCTGGCAAAAATCAAACAAGGAAAGAGAACTGCAGGCTGATCTCCTTGATGAACATAGATGCAAAAACTCTAAGCAAGATTCTAGCAAATCAGATCCAACAACACAACACATCTCAAGGATCATCCACCATGACCAGGTGGGCTCTATGCCTAGGAAGCAGGGCTAGTTCAACATTTGCAATATCATAAACATAATTCAGCACATTAACAGATATAAAACCAAGAATCACATGATTATATTATTAGATGCGGAAAAAGCATTTGACAACATCCAGCATCTCTTCTTGATAAAAACCCTTGAGCACCTATGCATAGAAGGAACATTCCTCAAAACAGTAAATGTCATCTATTATAAACCCACAGCCAACATTTTGCTCAATGGGCAAAAGTTTGAAGCATTTCACCTGAGAGTAGGAACAAGACAAGGATGCCATCTCACCTTTGTTGTTCAACATAGTACTGGAAGTCCTAGCCAGAGCAATCAGGAAACAAAAAAATCAGGGGTATCCAAATATAAAAAGGAGGAAGTTAAGCTATCCCTCTTTGCAGACTATATGATTCTATATCTTGAAAACCCTAGAGAGTACGTCAAAATCCACCTCGCACTGATAATTAAAATTAGTAGTCTTGAGGTACAAAATCAAAGTGAAAAAGATAGTTTTATTTCTATACACCAGCAACAAGCAGGTAGAGAACCAAATAAAAAGCACAACCGCATTCACAATAGGCACAAAAAAATGAAATATCCTGACACCATCTAACCAGAAAAACAAAAGATCTTTACAACAGGAACTGTAAAACACTGCTCAAAGCCATCAAGGATAACACAAACAAAGAATAACACAAACAAATTATCGGATCCATGGATCAGAAGAATCAATATTGTCAAGATGTCTATCCTACCCAATGCAATCTACAGATTCAATGCAATACTTATCAAATTACCAACATCATTTTTCTCAGATCTAGAAGTGGCAACCCAGAAATTCATATGGAAACAAAAAACCATGAATAGTCAAAACAATCCTCAGCAAAAGGAACAAATATTGAGGTATCACACTTCCAGACTTTAAACTTTACTGCAAGGGTACAGCAATCAAAACAACCTGGTATCGGTACAAGAATAGGCACATAGACCAATGGAGCAGCAGAGATTCTGAAAGGAAAAACTTGGTCTCTCAACCAACTAATCTCTGATAAAGACACCAATAACAACCACTGGGGAAAGGAGATCATATTTAGTAAATGGTGCTGAAAAACTGGCAGATAACATGCAGAAGAATGAAACTGGACTCCTACCTATCACTACATTAAAAAATGAATTCTAAATGGATCAAAGACTTAAACATAAAACCTCAAACTATATGAATTCTAAAAGAAAGCGTAGGAAACACACTTATGCACATCGGAGTAGGCAATGAATTTTTGGCCAAACTCCAAAAGTGAAAGCCATTAAAAACTAAGATAAGTGGGACCTCATAAAACTGAAAAGCTTTTGCACAGCAAAAAACAAAAAAGCAATCAAGAGAGTGGTAAGAAGATCCACAGAATGGGAAAAAGTATTTGCAAATCATATATCTGACAAAGGTCCAACATCCAGAATCTACAAGCAATGCAAATGAAGTAAAAGGAAAAAAAAACCAAATAACTCCATTAAGAAGTGGGCAAACCTGGAGTTGGCAAATACTTTTTCCCAGTCTGTGGGCTGTCTCCCTGCACTCTTTGGCTTTCTTTGGCTTTGCGGAAGTTTGTCAGTTTGATGAGGTCCCACTTGTCTATCTTATCGCTTATGGCCCATGCATTTCGGGTTTTGTTCAGGAATTGGATGCCAGTTCCAATTTCCATATGGGTGTGTCCTGTATTTTCTAAGGTTCTTATGGTTTGAGGTTTTACATTTAGGTCTCTGATCCATTTACAGTTAATTTTTGTGTATGGGGACAGATAGGGATCTTGTTTGAATCTTCTGCATGTGGTCAGCCAGTTTTCCCAGCACCCTTTACTGAATAGGTTCTCCTCTCCCCAGTGGTAAGTGGTGGAGGCTTTGTCGAAGATGAGTTGGTTGAGAAATTGAGGTTTTGCTTCTGGAATCTCAATTCTATTCCATTGGTCTATATGCCTGTTCCTGTACCAATACCAAACTGTTTTGATTATTGTAGCTTTATAGTAAAGTTTGAAGTCTGCTGGTGTGATACCTCCTGCTTTGTTTTTTTTTGCTGAGGATTGTTCTGGCTATTCTTGGTCGTTTGTGTTTCCATATGAATTCCTGTATTTTTTTTCAAGTTCTGAGAAGAATGTTGCTGGTAATTTGATGGGTATTGCATTAAATCTGTAGATTGTCTTAGGTAAGAGGGACATCTTCACAATGTTGATTCTTCTGATCCATGAGCATGGGATATTTTTCCACTTGTTTGCATCATCTTGATTTCTTTGAGCAGTGTTTTGTAGTTTTCATTGTAAAGTTCTTTCATGTCTCTGGTTAGGAAGATGCCAAGGTATTTCATTTTTTTTTTTTTTTTGGCTATTGTAAACAGGATTGTGCTTCTTATTTGGTTTCTGACAAAGGCCCAACATCTTGGATCTACAAGGAACTCAAACGTGCTGAAAAGAAAAAAACAAAAAAAAAAACCATCATAAAGTGGGCAAAAGATACGAACAGACACTTCTCAAAGGAAGACATCCAAGCAGCCAACAGACACATGAATAAATGTTCAACCTCACTAATCATCAAGGAGATGCAAATTAAAACTACACTGAGATACCACCTAACTCCAGTCAGAATGGCCATTATCAATAACTCAAAAAATAACAGATGCTGAAGAGGATGTGGTGAAAAGGGAACACTTCTTCACTGTTGGTGAGAGTGTAAATTAGTGCAGCCTCTGTGGAAAGCAGTGTGGTCACTCCTAAAAACTCTAAATATCGGCCTCCCATATGACCCCACAATCCTCCTACTGGGAATATACCCTGAAGAACTCAAAATCACTCTATTAAAAAAAGATACCTGCACACATATGTTTATCACAGCATTGTTCACAATAGCAAGAACCTGGAACCAACCATGCTGTCCATCAAAAGAGGACTGGATTAAAAAATGTGGTACATATACACGATGGAATAATATGCAACCATAAAAAAGAACAAAATCATGAATTTCACAGCAACCTGGATGGAACTAGAGTCTATAATACTGAGTGATCTCTCACAGAAACAGAGATCTGAGTATCACATGTTCTCACTCATATAGTGGACCTTGAACATCTATCATAAAACTATAAGAAAAGGTTTGGCAATGGTGGGAAACTATGGGGGGGGTAGGGAGGAGAAGGAAGGTGGGATTAATGGTAGTCAGTATCTGTCTGGGGCAGGGAGACACCCCTTATCAACAAGGGTGCCTGAACGATGCATATTTGTATACCTAACCCTTAACTGTACCCCACAATTTTAAAATAAAAAATATGTAAAAAAGAAGAAGAAGAAGAAGAAGGCAAAGAACATGAACAGACATTTTTCAAAAGGAGACATAAAAGTACACATCAGATACATGAAAAAATGCTCAGCCTCACTAATCAACAGAGAAATGCAAATCAAAACTACAATGAGATACCACCTAACTCCAGCAAGGATGGCCCTCATTAATAAATAAAAAAATAAAATAAAATAAAAGAAGCTGCCAAGGGTACAGAGAAAAGGGAATGCTTCTACCCTGTTGGTGGGAGTGCAAGCTAGTTCAGCCTCTATGGAAAGCAGTGTGGCGATTCCTAAAAGAACTAAAAATTGACCTTATATATGATCCAGCAATCTCTCTCCTGGGAATATAGCTGGAGGAAAATAAATCAGTCTATAAGAAAGACACTTGCAGCCGGGCTTGGTGGCTCAGCCTGTAATCCCGCGCTTTGGGAGGCTGAGGTGAGTGGATTGCCTGAGTCCGCAGGTTCGAGACCCACCTGGGCGGCAAGACCTCATCTCTACAATAAATCAAAAAATTAGCTGGGCATGGTAGCGCATGCCTGTAATTCCTGCTTCTCGGAAGGCTGAGGCGGAAGGATTGCCGGAGCCCAGCAGGTCAAGGCTGCAGTGGCCAGGAGCGGCCACTGCACTCTAGTCTGGGCGACAGAGTGAGACTCCAACTCAAAAAAAAAAAAAGAAAGACACTTGCACACACATATTTATTGCTGCACTATTCACAGGAGCAAAAACACAGAACCAACCCTACTGCCCACTGCAAGTGGACAGGATAAAGAAAATATGGAACATATACACAATGAAGTATTGTGCAACCATAAAGAAGAACAAAATCATGGACTTTGCAGCAAATTGGATGAAGTTAGAGACCACTATTCTTAGTGATCTATCACAGAAACAAAGAACTGAATACCACATGTTCTCATTCACAAGTGGGATGTGAACACTAATCACATTAGCACAAGGGAGGGATCAGCAATCACTGGCCACTGCTAGGTGTGGTCTGGAGGGAGGCATGTAACCACACAAAGGGTACCTGGTCCTATACCAGCGAGAGTGAGGGCCAGTTGGAGGTCCAAACTTCACTGCATGCAGTCTATTTGTACAGTTAATCCTTACTTGTACCCCACATCTCTATAATAAAATAAAATTAATAAAAAATAAGTCAGTCACAAATAAGATAAATACTGTAGATTCCAATAATATAAAGAAGATAAAGTCATCAAAATTACAGGGACAAAAAGTGGAATGATAGTTACTGGAAGCTGGAGGGAGGGGGAATAAGAGGTTATTGTTTAACAAGTGCATAGTTTCAGTTTTATGAGATAAAAAAGTAATAGAGATGGGTGCACATTATGATTATATGTAATACCACTGAATTATACACTAAAAATAGTTAAGACTGTAAATTTTATACTATTTGTATATGTTTTATGCTAGTATTAGATATATGCACTACTGGGTATATGTTTTATGAAAAAAAATAGTAAATTTTTAAAAAAATTTACCAGGTCCAAATAATTTCCTTGGATCCTTCTAATACATTTTCCTAGAACAGGTAATCCCTATGTATATAGATTGATTCATAAACTATTTTAAAAGACGGTGAGAAGCTTCCTCAACTCTTTTCATAATTCTGGTATAGTCCTGAAACAAAAACCAAACAAGGATAGAATAAGAAACAAAAACTTATGAGCCAATAAACATAGACCAAAAAAATACTAAATAAAATACTAACAAAGTCTAGTAATGTGCAACATAGTAAAACCTAACATTCAAGTAGAGTTTATTCCAAGGATGCAAGGAAGTTGTAACATTAGAAAATATTTTAATGTAATTCACTATAATGTCAATTAAAGGATAAAAAATGACCATTTCAGTAAAAGCAAAAATAGTTTTCAATAAAAATTATGAGTGCCTATTGATAAAATTCAATAGGCACTCATAATTTTAAAAAAATAAATAACTTAGTTAAAATATTAAATATTTTAACCCAATAAGGGATATTTATCAAAAACTTATAACTAACAAATCCCCTTGACATTAAAAAACAAGATAAGGATGACTTTTTCACCTCTTACATTTAACATTGCACAGAGGTCCTACACAGCACAATAAAGAAAGAAAAGCCAGACTTGGTGGTTTAGCCTGTAATCTCAGCACTTTAGGAGGCTGAGGCAAGTGAATTGCCTGAGCCCAAGGATTCGAGACCCACCTGGGCAACTTGGCGAGACCTTGTCTCTACAATAAATTTTTTTTTAAAAATTAGCTGGCCGTAGTAGCACGTGCCTGTAGTTCTAGCTACTTGGAAGGCTGAAGCGGAAGGATCATCTGAGACCAGCAGGGCGATGCTGGGGTGGCCATGAGTGTGCCATGGCACTCCAGCCTGGGCAACAGGGTGAGACTCCAACTCAAAAAAAAAAGAAAAGAAAAGAAAAAAAGGGGAAAGGAGAGATAAAGGAAGAGAGGGGAAAAAAAAGAAAGGAAAGGAAAGAGGAAAATGGGAAGATAGGAAGAAAGGAAAGAAGGAAGAGGGGCAGGAGGGAAGAAAGGAGGAAGAGGAGGTATAAAGATTTAAAGGGGAGAACAAAATCATCATTATTGCCTGGAATTAGATTGTCTATGTAGAAAGTCAGAAAAAATTATATTAAAAAATTAAACTTCTTGGAAGGTTGAGGGGGAAGGATCGCCAGAGCACAGCAAGTCGAGACTGCGGTGGCCGGGAGCGGCCACTGCACTCCAGTCTGGGTGACAGAGTGAGACTCCAACTCAAAAAAAAAAAAAAAAAAAAATTTAACTTTAATAAAAGGTTCTAGTAAAACTGTCAAGTACAAGATCAATATACAAAACTCAATAGTATTTTTCATAGCAGAAACAACTAATTTAGGAAGGTATTTTAAAGATGACCTCACAGCAACAATAAAAATAAAAAATGCCCATGAATAAAAAATGCACAAGGAATTTTTGAAGGAAAGTATAAATCTTCATTAAAATGCATGGGAAAAACCTTCCACAGATTTGGAAGCTAAATTTTGTTCACGTTAGGAAATTCAAGTAAAAATATGCTAATTCATCTCAAATTTCTCTATAAATTTAAGATAATTTTGATCAAAATACTATTAATTTTTTTAATTTCTCAAGTTTATCCCAAAATTCATATTGAATATCAAAGACCAAAAATATCCAAGATAATATTAGCATATTAAATGCATATTTACTGTACCAAATGTCAAAATGGATAATAAAACTATAGCAATTCAGATTGCTTAATATTGGTACATGTAGAGATAAATATATCAGTGAAATAGACTAGAGAATCAAAAAATAGCCTGGGGATATGTGACAGTTTATATCTCAGATGAATGGTATTTGATTTAAGATGGTATTGCAAATCAGTAGGGAATGGATGAGCTATTTAATAAATTGTGCTTTGATAATGGGCTATTAACATTGAAAAAAGATCAAATCAAACTTATACCTCACACGGTGGCCAAAATAAATTTGAGACAGATTAAACACCTAAAGGGCAAAAGTAACACTGGAAAACATATAGAAGAAAGTATAAAAGAACATCCTCATGCACAGGGATAAAGAAAGTATACCTTAAATAAGGCAACAGGAACAAAAAAAGCACAAAACATAAAAGTTTAGTAATTTAAATTTAGAAACATCTATGTGGCAAAATATACCGTTAAGAAAATTTAAATAATAGCCATAAGTGGAAGAATGTATCAGTAACACATACTGCCAAAAAAGATTAGCCTAGAATTATTAAAAAAGAAAAAAAAAGCATTCAAATCAAGACAGGTCTGCCTGGCTATAGGGGGTGCCTGCCTGTAGTCACAGCTACTCAGTAGGCTGAAGCGGGAGGATAGCTTGAGCCCAGGAGTTCACATTCAGTCTGGGAAACACAGCAAGAGACTATACCTAAATTTTTTTTTTAAAAGGCACTCAAATCAATATGAAAAAGATGAACAACAAAACAGAAAATTGAGCAAAGGATATAAACAGAAACTTCAACAACAACAAAAAACAGCATGGCCTATAAAACTCAAGCCCCTAGGCTTATGAAAATATGCTCAATCACAAGACATCAGAGAAATGTAAATTAAATCAATGAAACATTTCATCCATAAGATATACAAATATAAAAAAGACTTACAAGAATTGAAAGAATGTGCAGGAAGAATAAATCTCATTCACTGCCCATGGATATATGAATGGACACTATGAGCAGAAAAGTATGAAGTTGGCTCATTAATTCCACTTATAAGTATCCACCTAAAGACAAATCTACAAAGTTGTTCACTGAAGCATTACTTATAAAATAAACATATAGGAACACTGAACAGTCAATAGGGGAAATGATAACTAAGTTAGAGTACACCTACCTAAACACTGGATTGTAAGAGAGCAATTAAAATGAATGAACCAGCTCTAAACTACTTTATTATCTTTGGCAAGCCACTTAACTTCTTTAAGTTTCTTGTTTGCTGTTTTCTGTTTTAGTTTGTAAAATGTAAACATCAGCTTTACAAAATAAAATGAGAGAGTAAGAAAAGGTGGAGTAAAAGATATACTACAAGACACCATCTAAGAAATACCAGACATCATGAAATCTTATGATCTCTCGCCTGTAAAATAAGTATTACTGACATGCCCTGAGAGAAAAAGGGATAAGAATTGAATACATGATATGAGAATGTTAGGTAAATGTTTATTAAAACATCCAAAAAATGAGAAGGGCAGATAAGTAGGTATGAGTATTAACCAATCAAATGAGAGTCCAGCTCTCATTAAACAGGTAATCATAAACAAGACTCTAGTACATGATTGATTGACAAACATTGTCTCCTTCTAAGAAACAAAAGCTCAGGACCATTGTCTTTTAATGAAAAATACTGTGAAATGGGAATTATACTGAGACAGTCTCTAAAGTTATGACTTTTATTAACTTTTTATTTTATTTTGTGTTAAGTGGAAGCTTTAGATGACTCCGATGGAGTAGAAATATTGGGAACTGTATTTTGTGTGTGTGTATGTGTGTGTGTGTGTATTAGATATGGGCATCTCGCTATGTTGCCCAGGTTGGCCTCCAACTCCTGGTCTCAAGTGATTCTCTTGCCTTAGCATGCCAAAGTTCTGGGATTACAGGCCTGAGTCACCATGCCTGACAGGAATGGTATTTTTTAATACTCAAAGTATTAACATAAGGAAAAAAGGATTTTAGATATGAAGGCTAATAGCATTATTAAGCTATCTTGAAAAGATAACTTTGAATGTTTTTCAGAGGAAATTTTAATCTGAGCAGTTCTGATTTCCCATAAACTAGGCCTGTCAACTTTCAAAAGAGACAGTGGTACATTTGAATTTAGATCATAAAGAATGTGTGGCAAAATCCCAGGCAGTATCCTGCCCCACCTAGCAAAGGGAAAAAAAGACAATGGGCCCCTCTCGGTTGGATACAGACTACATGCCCCTTACATTAATGCTACAGCTCTTGATATAATAATGAGAATAAATAAAATATAAAAAATGTAAAGATTCTATAAAAGCAATCAATGAAGGCCAAGTAATGCTAAATCAGATTAGAAAGTGAATTAATCACCCAGCTAGTGGGTATCAGGGACAACTTGTAGAAGTAAAGAGCAATACATTGTAGAGCATTGAAAAATGGGTACTCATTAGGAAGAGGAATTTCATGAAAAATATATGTACAAATAAAGGTTTTAATGCTAGAATGTGTCTCAACTTATACATGAGGGGAAAACAGCCATATTTAATAAGAAAAATCTAAAACAAAGGTCCAGGAATACTTTTCCCATAAAATTTTTCCTCAACTCCAGTTGTGAGACACAGGGATTATTCAAAGCAATAGACTTGAAAATTATTTTAGGAAATAATTAGATTTATTGATGACAGGTTTTAATTTATTATTATTACTTTTAGAGAAAGGATATCATTCTGTCACCCAGGCTGAAGTGCAGTGGTACAATCATAGCTCACCACAGCCTCAAATCCCTGGGCTCAAGTGACCCTTCTATCTTCAGGCTCCCAAGTACCTAGGACTACAGGCCTTAAGTGATTCTCTTCCCTCAGCCTCCCAAAGCACAGGATTTCAGGTGTGAGTCACTGCACCCAGGTGATAACAGGTTTCAAAATGTCATTGGCACTAAGATTCATTTTCCAATGAAAAATAGAAAGATAATTATTATATCTAAAAGGATATAATATACATAACATACGTTTATGTGTTTTTGTAATAAAAACACTTTATTAATAGAAAATTTTTAAATAAATTCCTACTATTTCGCTATTTACTATTTACTATTTTTAAATAAATTCCTACTATTCCTACTATTTAGTAAATATTTAGCTATTCATAAGTCTTTGAAAGCTAGTAGCAAAGAGCTTGGTATAGAAATGCCAAAACAGGCTTCCCTGTTTTGCTGGCGTCTCAGGGCTCCTGCTCTGATGGTGCCAGCAGCCCTTTTACCCACAGCTCAACCCCCTCCTGGAGAGCCAGGATAGTGTTGGGACAGAGTATAGAATGAGCACAGTGCTCATAAAAATTACCGCAATCTTAAATCTTTAACTCTTAAGTTCTCCTTTAAGCAGTTCTCCTGTCTCTCCCCAGTAGCCTACACAGCCTCCACCTGTCTTAAAATTCTCAGCCAGACCGAGGCAGATCTGGGACACTCTTGGTATCACCACCAGCAGAAGAAGTCCTGCTGCAGGTCCCCAAGATTGTCATGGCCTCACTCCTCACTGGTTCCAAAGCCATGAAAGAAGAGAGAAAACTGGGCCCGAGGCTATGTCTTCTGAGTATGCAAAGTCTGGGGGCCTGGTGCAGCACCTCCCGCCTGGCTCCCCTTGGGGCAGTCCTTTCCAGCCTTTTTCTTGCGCTAGTATGTTGCCCAAGAGCTTCCCTGTCTCCTGGAGTGGCACCAGGGTAGGCAGCATGAAGTCTTTAGTAGGGTTTGCGGGCCTTTCTGGACAGGGTTGGGGAAGTGTTCAGGGGCTGGTGTGGATACCAGCCAGGGGTCCCCATTGCTGCATCCCAATCACCACACCACCAACATGCTGAGTGGAACCTGAACCTGAGTGTCCATTTAGAAGAGTTGCATCAGAGGGAGCTGGGCTCCGGGCATGTGCAGAGCCTGTTGCTTTCCAGGACAACAGTCTGGGAGTAGAGCCAGGAGCTGCTGGCCCGCATCCAGATCTGGGCTGGATTACATGGCTGGGCTTGCCCAAAGCAGTGAGCCCCACCCACCACCAGCCCATGCCTGGAGGGACAGGGCAGGAGGTCATAGAGGACAAGGGTTAAAAAAAAAAAAAAAAAAAAATGCAGTGTTTTTTTTCCCCTTCCCTAAAGCATTTAATTCAATGTTCAACACACAAAAGATGCTTAACAAATATCTGTTGATAAAGTCTCCTTTTAAGAAAAATTAAATAAAAATTTATTTTTATTTTGTATTACCATAATTTGTATCGTATTAATAATTATTATAATAAAGCAACCCACAAACATGACAGTAATTTAGATTTCCTAAATATTTTTCTCTAATATATAATCCAGTATCACACACACAAAAAAACCTGTAAGTTAATTCCATTCTAAGCATTTCTAGCTTAAATTACAAGAACTCAAAAACGGACACACACACACACATTGCTTGACCTCTAATGAAGGAAAAGCTAGTCTTTGCCACCATCTAGAGGCTACAGAATATAGCAGAATAAAAAGAAAGTACTCGGAAATGTAGTATAAGAATATAAGCATCTAGAGTTTACACGTGGAGCTACTGCCTTCCTACTCAGTTGGGCCAGCATTGGATCTACTCTCCTGGTTTCTTCTGCACGTTTGCATGAGCCTGACCTTTGGGAAAAACCAAACAGGAAAACCAACAAGTAGAATGTCCCCTTTGCCTACCTTATATACTTGCCATCACCCTTCAACTGATACCTATTTGTTTATATGAGGTGTAAAAATGCATCTTCACACTCATCAGACCAGATGAACAATAACAAAAAATTATTGTCGGAAAAATTTTATACACTGCTATTGAGAATATAAATTTATAAAATTTGGGCAATATTTTATAACATGAATATGTGCATAACTTATGACCCAGCAATTCTACTCCTGACTATATGCTTGGTGGCTTGTAACCTCCAGTACATAGAGCTCAAAGGAATCTATAGATAAAATTCAGAAGGTCTGATAATTTGGATGGGTAAAGGTTATATCTTTATTACCACCGATGTCTGAGATTAAATATATCTTTTGATTATAAAGGTAGACAACAAACAATATTATCAGCAGGATATGACTTTGTAATAAAAATCATGTTGTCAAGTCCATTTTCAATCGTTAAAAATGCATCAAAATTTCTTCCATACTCATCACTACTTCAAAATTATATCCTTATACTCAATATTAGATATTGTTATTCAGTTTCCTTTTAAAGAAGCATGGCTATTTCTTTTTGAAAATTTTTATTTAATGTTTTTATTATACTAGTTCAACTTTTTTCTATTTTGATGATTCTAGTGCAGTTTTTTTCCTTTGCATTTTTTTCTTTGTAACCCTATGTATTTGTTATAAATTTAAAAATATTTGGGATCCACAGACTCACAAGATTTCCAAAGGGTTCTATGATTTAAAAAAATTCAGTAATACCTGGACTTGAGAAATTCTTCTGGTAGAACCAGGAGACATCTGAAAAAGAAATTAAACTAGGTTTGTTCATAATAGCCAAACGGACAAAAAAAATTCATGGTATTTTCATATAATGAAATAGCATAGAACTGAAAAGTAAATTAATTACTCCAACTGCATTAATGCTGGTGATTTTCAAAAGCCTACAGTTAAAGCTAACAACCATGTAACAAAATAATAAAAATAGTCCGATTCCATTGTTTTAGAAATACAAAATAAGCAAATCAAAGGAATATATTGTTTAGATTTGTATATAAATATAGTTAAATTTTAATGAAAATCAGTATGATAACACAAAATTTGGGATCATGATTACTCAGGGAAGTTGTGAGAGAGTGTGGTAAGCAAGAGAATGTGACCAGGAAGAAACATGCATTGATCTTCTGAGTTACTGGCAATATTCTATTTCTTAAGCCTGGTGGCAGGGGCACAGGCATTCACCTTATTATTCTTCTTTCAAGTGTACAGATACCTTGTATATATTTTTGATATCTGTCTGTCCAAACTAAAATAACTACCCAGTTATTCTATAACATACTAGCCAACTTTAATAATCAAGTATTTAGTATTGATTTTTCTAGCTTTGAAACAGCTATCCTGGTTGGGCGTGGTGGCTCAAGCCTGTAATTCCAGCACTTTGGGAGGCCGAGATGAGAGAACTGCCTGAGTCCATGGGTTCAAGACCAGCCCAGGCAACTTGGCAAAGACCTCATCTCTACAATAAATCAAAAAATTAGCCAGGCATGGTAGTGCAAACCTGTAGTTCCAGCTACTTGGAAGGCTGAGATGGAAGGATCACCTGAGCCCGGTGGATCAACGTGGGGTGGTCGTGAGCATGCTACCACACTTCAGCCTGGATGACAGAGTGGAACTCTGACCCTAAAAAAAAAAAGAAAAAGAAAGAAATACCTATCCTTTGGAAGGATTGTCAGAATTCTGTTCAGGATATGCAACAATAATTTTTAAAATGCTTATACTAAATAATTTCCAGGCAGTTTAGGAATATAAAAAAAAGATAGCCATAGAAAACTATTACTTGGTCAGACTGCAAACTTTACTGTAAGTCTACAGTAATCAAAATAGCAAAGTACTGGTACAGAAATAGGCACACAGACCAATGGAATAGAAAAATAAAGCCACTACCTTACAATCATCTCATCTTTGACAAAGTTAACAAAAACAAACACTGGAGAAAGTCCACCCTATTTATCAAATAGTGCTGGGAAAACTGGCTAACTATATGCAGAAGAATGAAACTGGACCCCTTTCTCTCATCATATATGAAAATTAACTCAAGATGGATTAATTACTTAAATGAAAGGTCCAAACTATAAAAACCCTAGAAGAAAGCCTAGGAGATACTCTTCTGGACACTGACCCAAGCAATAAATTCATGACCAAGACATCAAAAGCAAAAATAGCAAAAACCAAAATTGACAAGTGGGACCTAATCAAACTAAAGATCTTCTGCACAGAAAAAGCAACCATCAACAGCATAAATAGCCTACAGAATGAGAGAAAATATTTGCAAACCATGCATCCAAGAGTGATTTACCACAGAAACAAAGAACTGAGTACCACATGTTCTCACTCATAAGTGAACCCTGAACAAGTATCATAATACAATAAGAAAAGAATTGGCAGTCGTGGGAAACTGCCAGGGGAGGGGGAGGCATACCTCATCAACAAGGGTACTTACATAATGAACATTTGTATACCTAACCCTGAATTGTACCCCACATCTTTAAAATTAAAAATTAAAAAAAAAAAAACAGAATCTTTGAAAAACTCAAATGAATTGACAGAAGAAATATAACTTCAATAAAAATTGGGCAAAGGACATGAACAGACATCTTTGAAAGGAAGGCATACAAGTGGCTAACAAACATATGAAAGAACATTCAACATCATTAATCATCAGAGAAATGCAAATCAAAATCACAGTGAGATACCATATCACACCCGTCAGAATGGCTGTTATTAACAAGCCAAAAACAACAGATGTTGGCAAGGTTGCAAAGAAAAATGAATGCTCATATGTTGTTGGTGGAAATGTAAGCTGGTTCAGCCCCTGTGGAGAGTAGATGGGAGATTTCGCAAAGAACTAACAATAGATCTACCATTCAATCCAGCAACCCCACTACTGGACATATACCCAAAAGAAGCATAAGTCACTTTACCAAAAGGACATTTGCACTCATATGTTTATCGCAGCACTATTCACAACAGCAAAAATATGGAACCAACCTAAGTACCCATCAACAGTGGACTGAATCAAAAAAAGTGGTACGCATACACTATGGAATATTATGCAGTCATAAAAATGAACAAAATCACATCCTTTGCAGCAGCACAGATGCAGCTGGAGACCATCATTCTAATTGAATTATCACAGAAACAGAAAACTGGATACGCATGTTCTCACGTATAAGTGGGAACTAACCACAGAAGAAACACATCACTAATTGAATTATCACAGAAACAGAAAACTGAATACTACATGTTCTTACTTATAAGTGGTAACTAACCACTGAATACACACAGGTATAAGGATGGGAACAACAGACACTGGGGACTCCTAAAAGGGGGAGGATGGAAAGAGGGTAGGGGTTGAAAAATCATCCATAGGGTACCATGCCCACAACCTGGGTGATGGGCTCAATAGCAGCCCAAACCTCACAATCATGCAAAATATCTACGTAACAAACCTGCACATATACACCTTGAATCTAAAAAAAATAAAATAAACAAATACAGTATTCCCAATCAAGGAAACAAATAAATTCTGTTGAAAGCTATTTTCCATTACAAAACTAAAACTACCTCAATGATCACATATCATTTAAAAAGAAATAGCAAACGGAACTCATTTTACAACCTGGCTTCAAACTCTGACTGTGCCACTTTGCAGCAAAGAACCTGGGAAAATTCTTTCTCCAAACTTTACATTTCTCAGTTATAAAATGAAGATAAGGCTTAACTCACTATATTTTGAGATTAATTAAAGCCTGTGAGGGGGGGAAATGAATAGGAAGTATCTTGGGCACTAATTAGCACTTAACAATGTTTATCCATCTCTAAGTTGTAGCCATGAATGTTGCTCTTCACTATTTGTATTTTCCTCTTTGAAATTCCTCTTGTAATTTCCCTCTGTCTTTCTGCAGGATGCATTCAGTTAATAATGAGATTCTAAGGGATGGCAAGGCCACAGGGTAGAAGAAGCCCAGGTTCATAATTGACTATGTATGGAAGTGTCACCTGTCAACTAGAACAATTCACTTATAAAAAAATAAAATGATCATAAAACTTTTAACGTTTTTTGGTCTCACTCCAAAATAAATTATTTTTAATGTAAACATCAGTAGATGCAAGTAAGGGAAGTGTATTTGGAGAGAGTAGTATGAAGAGCCCTAAATCTTTATCATCCAGTCAACAGCTAGCATCCTGTGGTACTTCCCACCAGCACTTTCTATTCTTTATACCTTATTGTATTTTTCTTCTATTATTTATTAATCCCAATATTACTCTTTATTTGTGTATCTGTTTCCTCCTACCAGGAAGTTCAAAGAGGACAAGCAAGACCTTGGTCTTTTGTTCAGTTCTGTACACCAGTTTCTGGAAAGGTGCCTGGAACATAGAAAGAATTTAGTTAATATTACTTGAATGAGTAAATAGATTGCTAATTCCAGGTGATAAAAGCCTAATAAAATAAATTTAATCATACAGATCCAGCCCTGACCCAAATGATGATTTCCTTAGTCTTGCATGATTACAAATGAATGCCTCTCTTCTGCAAAAAAGGAGGCATACCCACTAATTACTAACGTTAAAAACATACCTTCCTCTGAATAGATTATTCAAAAGGCACAACTGATGCAAGCACAAGTGTAATAATTCCAGTCCTAATAATGTAAGAAATAGTACATGGATGTGTGTAATGATAAACTACTAGCAAGAAAAATGTAACATTAAATAACAGAGATCAATGTAAAGTAACAACAGAATCAATTAAACAATTATTTTAATGTAAGCATTATTAGACGTGGGAAAGTGAATTTTGGGGGAAAGGTGTGTAGAAATAAAACCTCACCTGCCACAGAAGGAAGTCAGTAGACACCATCCATAACTGAAAAATATCAAGAAATAGCAGAAAATGCCTATTATTTTAAAATACGAAAGAAACACCTTGAAATGTGAAAGGTATGGAAGGAGAACCAATACTCCAGGATTGGGAGGGCTACATCAAAGTTTCGCTTTTTTGCTTTCGAAAGACTTACTGAACGACTAGTTTCAAATTATGTATGTTTAAGTTTTACGTTTTTCCTATAAGGTTGGGTGCTGCCACTCCTCTGAGTCCATGGAAAATATTTTTCTTAGGAGCCTCCCAAGATCACACTGGGATGACAGTGGAGACGGAGGACACAGTGCGGAAAAGTGAAGGCTCGCTGCTCTAGTTATGTCTGCCACACCTTATAAAACTTGATCCCGGCAACAACCTCCAGTTGTCACATACAAAGCCTGACGCGCGCGCGCCCACACGCCCAGCCTTTCTCCGTGGACCACCGCGCCATCCCCGCACAGTCACGCATCTGTGCACGGCGCTTTGCAGCGAATGAGGTGGTGGCCCAGAGAGGCGGGACAGGGCGCATCTCAGCACTCGGCCAGTCCCACTCCACCTCTGACGTCTGGGCCAAGAACCTTTGAGAAAACAGAGGTCAGCGCTGGAGAGACACACGCCACGCGGACAGGCCGGATCAGCCGCGCCTCCCAGGCCCGGGGCGGAGCTGGCCCCGCCCCAGACGGTGTCCCCCAATTGTGCGATCGCTTCTTCTTTCCAGTCCGGAAGCCCTAAGAGAAGTCTCAAAAAGGACACGGGTGGCGGCCCTTCTGATTGCTGAAGCCTCGCCATGCTCGTCCTCAGGAGCGGCCTGACCAGGGCGCTGGCTGCGCGGATGCTCGCGCCTCAGGTACTAGCAGCCGGGGTGCGCCCGAGCCTCAGGGCTGCAGGGGAAGTGGGGAGGCGGGGCGCATCCGGGAACTTGGGGGCCCCGCGCATGCGCCCTCGCCTCGCGTGCCCAGTCCTGGAGCTCCGCGCCGGCGCCACGGCCGCCGAGCTTCTACTGCGGCCCCGGGAGCCTCAGGCCGCGGTGCCCGGCGCGCGGGAGAGGGAGGGTGCTACCCAGGAGACCCGCTCGCCGGGGTCACCTCCCGATCGACTCGCGGGCAACCGAAGACAGAGAGCTTTTCTGGCCTGTGTGATGGGCAGCCTTAGGACACCTCTGAAGCGACGGCAGCTGCCTGTCAGCATCGTCGCACCTGTGGCTCCGGACAACCCACGGGGTCGCCTGGCGATCTGCGGTTTTACAAGCCACCGCCCTCTCTAGACTTCAGGTCGAAGCAGGGCAGGCCCGCCAGCCTCTTCACCTGAGCAGGCCTCCCCCTTTCAAATGAAATGCACGACTTGAGAGCATTGTGTGGAGAACCTTGGAGAGAAGGCCCAGGGACCCCGTGGGCTGAACCTGTCCCATCAGCCAAGTTCTTTGCGATCCATCCCCAAGCCAGAGTCCAGCGCCTCGTAGCAAACACGAAGATGAGAAATTATTTTAACCATAGACAAGGAATGTACAAAATGGAGTTCGTTGTTCAGTATTAACTGTCAGGCATTGACCTATTCTGTGAATCTAATCCAGAGGTTTCTTCTCCTGTGGATATTTAGCACTAGACTCCTTTCTCAAGGGGAAAGATAGGAAGGGGGTAAACCTATTCTAGAGACAGACTTGGTGGGGAGCCCTAAGGAAGGACCATTAATGCCCATGCACCCAGGATTGGTTATGCAGTCTTTATATCCTTATGATTCTCCCTAGTGGGACAGGGCCAAAAATTATTTTCTTACAGCGTTTTTTTTTTTTCTGAATTTTGACTTTTTACATTTCTATGAGCTGTTCTCTTATTAGTGAATTAGAAATCGTTGTGGCAAGTATGAGTCCTAACTTGGGGACAGGGGAGCATGATCACTCATGACTTCTGCCCTCGCAGTTAAAGTCATCTTTGTAAAAAATTTCCTCAGCCTCCTGCCACCCATCTATCCACACCTCTGTTACTGCTGGTTCCCTGCTCTATTTTAATTCTGCTAAAAATAATAAAAATGTGTGTGTTTGACCAAATAGTTCATTCTCTAAATCCAAATTCCTGGTATCAGCCTGAAAGTCAATTGTTATAAATGCCCTGTTGGCCCATTTTCTTATGTATATTTTTTAAACTCTGGATAGTAGGCAGTTGTTTATTCTACTACCATTTTGTTACTAGAGTTTGGTTAAAAAGCACAGAAAGTATGTTCACGAAAGACAGGGGTAGCTGTACTTTTTTTTATGGAAAGCCTAGTTATTTGGGCAATAAGACTATAACTCAGACATGAATGTAATTAACTTGATAGATGATTATCATTAAGTGTTACTATACACAAGTAAAATACATGAACTATGTTCTAAAATAAATATATATACAAATATCTATATATGTATACATATGTGAGTTCATATGTATATTATATATATGTATATATGTGTGTGTGTATATATATATCACAAGCAGAGCCTACTGCTTTTGTTAAACATACCAGCTAGTCATGAGAAGCCCTAACTTTGTAGGAACCAAAACTGTTTTAATACGTTATTCTGGTGTAATCAGCTTCAGAAAATGGGCACATGCTAACCAAACATACATAAGATGGATTTAAAAATTAGAATGCCATATAAGTGTTTATGTGCATATCATGACCACAGGATAATTTCTGGCAAGCCATTTCTTACTGAAAGTTCAAATGGAACACTAATCTGAAATTTATAGCAAACATGTGATTACTACAAAAGGGACTAACAGTTCTTAAGGGATAGTTCCAACAACCTGGTACATCTGGATGCATTAAATGCCCATCACATTGCATCTGTAATTCAAAAGCAATAATGACTCAGAAAATTCTGACTCTGAATTTTCCTCTTTTTAGCATTCATACAGCCTACCACTGTTTTACAACACAATTGTGTACGTCATAGCTTTTTATTGCATTAGCCACATCCCAGTCCTATTTTTGACCAGTGGTTTACTTCATTGAATTTAGGAAACACTTCAACCTGGATAGCATTTCCACTTTTTTAAGAACTCTAAAAAGTTTTCTACTAGTAAACATTTTTTCATTATGCCTGCCAAAACACATGCATCTTTTATAAGATTGTTTAATATGCATAATTCTATCACACATGCTGTTGACTAAAGAAGGACTATTGCTTAAATAAGGAAAAACATTTTGTAAAGTTATTAGAATCCTAAAGATAGTTGTTGGGTAAAGGAGTATCATTAAGACCTTGGTGCCTTCTTATGAGCAACATCTCATGAAAAAGTGGGTAAAGGAAACAGTGTATATTTAGCATGTTTAAGAGGTTATCTTTATTGACATCTCTGTGTAAACAAATAGAGTTGACAACAGAAGTATAAACACTGATTATGTGTCTACTAATGTCTCTTGTTTCCAGATTCAGATTTGGCTGTAACATAAATCCTTCCTTCCCCAAAATATTTAAATTTGCCTTATCTTTCTTCAGGTGTTCTCACCTTTTGCCACAGGCCCCCGACAATGTGATGGAACATTCTATGAATTCCGTACCTACTACCTTAAACCCTCAAAGATGAATGAATTCCTGGAAAATTTTAAGAAAAACATTCATCTTCGGACAGCTCACTCTGAATTGATTGGATACTGGAGTGTAGAATTTGGAGGCAGAATGAATAAAGTGTTTCATATTTGGAAGTATGGTATGAATTTTTCAGTTAAGCATTCAGTACAGATTTTCATTCTGTTAGATGTTACATGAGAGATAGTTCTTGGATCTATATTACTATAGATACATACAGGTTAAGTAAAACTTTTAAAAGGCAATACCAAAAAAAAATAAATTATGTGATTATCCTTTAACAACTCCTTGTTTGAACTCTTATGTTATTATAAATGGAAAAGTGTATACTCTAATATGTCAATCATAAAATTATAAACTAAACTTTCTCAGAAAACTTTAGAATGGTGTGTTGTATAGTCTGTGAAACATTTAAAGCAGTGATTGTAAAAGTCCAAGTTGGTTAAGATCACAAAAGGAAAGAAATATCTTTTTTTTTTATTATTGATGCTAGGACTGGAAATCAGCATTTTAGCAGAAATAATTCAACCATTTAGGGACTTTATGAAAATGCAGGTTTATAGGAGATGATGGTTAACTTTTAGCCCCACTCAATTCTGAGATATAATAATTCAGTTATGTTTAGAGACTACTTTTGTTTCCTACTGTACCCCAGAGTTTTAAGAAATTCAGTGTTATACTACTCTGGGGAGGTAAAGGAATTTGAGAGAATTCTTCCCATATGGAGGCTGACCTGTCCCTGGTTTAGTAGAGAAAGGAATACAAGTTTACAAGAATCTCCAGAATGCTTGTTACTCTAGTGTCCACATGTATCAGGACCTATTGCTACCCAAAGAATTTTTAATAATTCCATTTAGTGGAATTACAATGTTCCATTGTAATAGAACAAGCCCCATACAATTTTTTCTTTTGATGTGGTGCAAGTTGAATTACAGACGGTTTAAAAAACTAATAAAGTCCTGATATATCTCACTTAAGTTGTCAGATAGGTGTTTTTCCTTATCCCAAGTGTAAACCATATAAAACCCTTTCCATTAGACATATGAAGTCCTAACAGTTAATATAGTACTGGATCTATATGTTAGTAAATATATATACTTGCTTAGGTAACTTAAAAAGAAAAGAAATAAGTGCTGGGGAGAAAAGAATGAGTGACTGTAAGAGAATCAACATTGTTTCTTTGAAAGCTATTTGTTCAAAACAGAAGAGAATTTAAAACTACATTGTAACTTCACTTATGCTAAATTTGATTCACGTTGTACCTTGACCTCACCACCCACTACCATCTCCACCTAAGAAAACCAGTCTTTCTCTAAACTAGCACTATCAGTCACATAAATGTCTTAATTAAATTAATAATAATAGTCCACATATATTGAGGACTAACTACGTGCCAAACACTTTTCTAAGCTTCTTTCATGTATTGGTCACTTAATTTTCACAACAACCCTGGTAGTAAATGTATTATCTCAATTTCACAGAAACTGAAGCACAGAAAGATTCAGTAATTTACCTAATCCATACAACTGCCTACTGTGTGGTAGAGCCTATAAAGCCTATTATATGATATTACAATAAGTTGTTTGCATTTCTACTCCTCTTTTAGACCACAAGCAACTTGAGGGCAGGTGTCACATCTTTTATTTTTGAATCTCCTAAGGCATAAATAACACAGGGTTTCTATATGGCATCGATGAACATTTGCTAATTTGAATGAAATCCAGTAAAGTATAGGTGGCTTTAAATTGAATTTTTAAATTTTTCTTAATTCTTTTCTTTCTGTAGATAATTTTGCTCACCGAACTAAAGTTCGGAAGGCTTTGGCCAATGATAAAGAATGGCAACAATTTCTCACTCCAAATTTGGCTCTCATTGATAAACAAGAAAGTGAGATTACTTATCTGGTACCATGGTGCAAATTAGATAAGCCTCCAAAAGAAGGTAAGTCCTTTCTTCTTAGTTACTTTGAGTTTTGATGAATAAAATATTAAAGACTTATGCAATTAAAAACTAAAGTTTCACTGGAAAAAAATTGTCCTTTGTTTTATATAGGAACATAGTGATTGATGAGGTAAAAATAAACTGGTAAAATTGATTCTTAGACAAAAAGCATTAAATAACGAGGTATTTTTTCCCATATTGCAACCCTATAGATTTGTAAGCTTAGCTGTGTTCTAGAAAAAGTTGCCATGGTAAATAAAATTTGAAAAGTTGTCATGTAAACTTTTAAACAGAAAAGTATTCTCCACAAGTTTTAACTAATCTTAAATCATTAAGTATATTTTTGCTTATAAAATTGACTGTTGGGGTAATGAATTAACTGAAACTGCCAAGCTGTATTACTGTAGTCTAACTTTTATGTCTTCTTTCTTATTTCTCAGTTTAAAAATACTTCTTTAAGATTTGTCTTCTTGCTGATTTCACTTCTTGCTCACTTAAACTATTACCCCAATCGAGTTTTAATCAAAGGTCAAATTAGAAAAGCATAAGCTAATTTAAATTGTATTTTGTTTCCCCCATATTCCCAACTTTGTAGTATATTTTAGAAAAGAAAATACAAAATAGTTTAAAAGTCTTATTTGGATATTTATCCATTTAGATGTCTCCTCAGGTCATCACTATCTAAATAAAATAGTTCACTCCTCAGACAGTACCAGATTTTGGTTCTCTTCCTCTGTGTTCATGGTTCTGGGTAACTTTTGCATGTTTTTCCCTTACCTCCCAAATTTACTTATCCCCTAGTTTCTTTCTCTCCACCAGCCCTGTACTTCTGTCCAGAGCATAAAATACTTTTCAAATATTTACCTAGATATTTAGGAGAAATAAAACTATTTACTTAAGTTTGTTTCTTTTTTCCTCCAAAACTCAGATACCACTTCAGTTCTACTGTTTGATTTACTGTTCCTGTTAGAAATGGAAACTTACAAGGAGAAATTATACATAGAAAAAGTAGTGGAAGTTGAAGAGAAGAATGAAAATATAGGAGATTGGAAAATTATTTTATTTATTTTCTACAAGCATTGGCTTGAGCAGTTCAGAAATCCTATTTTATTACAAATTGCCAATATCTGTTTTTATGACAAATTTTATAGTTTAAAAATATTTTAAATAATAGCTTATATATAGATTTTAGTCCTTTTTCTTTGTCGTTTGTAGATTAAGCTTAACAACTCACTCTTAAATATTGGCAAAGACTCTCTAAACATAAAAAACAAAAAGAATGCAAATACAATAAATAAGTTTACATAGAGTGTATTCATGTGTGATCCTCCAAATTTGTATATGTAGATTAGCCATCCACTGACAAACATGATTAGAAATTACTTGAATGTTTTCTGAAAAATTATTTTTTTCCCTATTCTAGGAGTCTATGAACTGGCCACTTTTCAGATGAAACCTGGTGGGCCAGCTCTGTGGGGTGATGCATTTAAAAGGGCAGTTCATACCCATGTCAATGTAGGCTACACAAAACTAGTTGGAGTGTTCCACACGGAATATGGAGCACTCAACAGAGGTACAGTTATCCAATTCTTATATGAAATTGCGATGTATATTAGTGACCTAATAAGTTCCTGTGGTCGTTTTGTCTCTCTAATTATAGAGTGCATTTTATTATTTATTGATATTTAATCTTTTGTCATTTTAAAGGTCGACAAACCTGTTTACATCTTATTAATTTATAATTTTAACACCTTATACAGCCTTTCTCAAATGCTAAACTGCTGTTTTCCCTGACAAATCAAAATGACTAAATTCTAAAAACTAAAGGAAGCTCATGAAATAATCTGTTACTATCATCATCTTTCTTTCCTCTGGCTGTACTTTCATTGATTTTTTAAAATAACATTACTTGGGGCAGATAGAGTGTTTCCAAGTAAAAAAGTAATATATATATTAAATCTTAAAGCCCCCCCACAAAATTTATTCATTTCTTACTGTGGTTTTATATATATAGTGTATATGTGTATATATATTAGTATACATATATATTTATAAATTTATTTAATAAAGCCCATATTTGGGATATTTAACTTTTAAGAAGTTGAAAGATATTACAATCAGAATTTCAAAATTTTTTGTGACAAATTCTGAGGAACATTTGTAAAGTTTTTCTGAAAGGATAAATGACTAAGAATACCTAATAAATATTTGAAAGACTCATAATATTCAATTGCCTTCTTATCATCCCCATTTCATATCCAATGGACATCTGATACCTAGTATACCCAAGGCTGAGCTCCTGATCTTTACACAGAAGTTTAACTTCTAGTAATATAAGAAAATACAAAAATAGATATATATTCAAGTCAGAAAAATACATGAAGGAGAAGTTATTGTATATTATTAGATACCTATCTCACACCATATGCTAAAATAAGATCAAAATAAATTGTAGATTTCAATGAAAAAATGTAATTTGTAGAATTACTAAAATAAAATATTGAATAATATGGATTAGGACTATATTTCTAAGCAAAAGGCAAATAAAAAAACTATGAAGGAAGAAAAATCAAGTGTTTTTTTTATAATGCAAAGTGATTTTATTGTACAAAGATTCAAACTTTCTACAAGCCTCAAATCACCATACATAAAATTCAGAAGCCTAAAGAAAAAAAAAATTGTACAAAGGCAGACACACACGTGGCTACTAAATATATACTAAAGAACATGTAGATTAAAATAATAATGGGGACCGGG